CATTTTGCAGTTATTCATTGCTCCATGCTTCAAGAAAAACATTTAGCAATGTCAAAGTCAGTATCTCTGAGCAGTGGACCCCAAGTGCTTTTAACACATCAGTTGAACTGCCTGTGGAGGTAAGCGGAAGTGGGGGAAGGATTTAAGAAGGGGACCATGCCCACCCCTGAATTATTCTTAAGTTCTTTATTTTTTTTTAATAGTATTTACCTGCTCAGGACTCTTGACATGGCTTACTGTTTCCTATGGCGTAAGATCCAAACTATTCTACCAATTTCAAAGCCTCCTCCAACTCAGGCCCATTTACCTGTCCAGCCAGCTTGCTTTTCCCTGTCTTGAAGTCACACAAATCTGACGAGGCTGTTTTTTCATTGAGTTTCTCAAGTGCTGTGCTCATTTCTGCCTTGAGATTTTGGTCATTATCTTTTACATGCTCTTTTGCCTTTTCCACCTACTTAAATTTGCCTTTCCCTTTGTGTCAAGATAAAATGCCATTTTTTCAATACCATTTTTTTCAGCTTCTACTGATTTTTCTCTTTTCCGAACTTTTGCACACTGTGTATTACATAGTGTAATTTCTCAGTATTTGAATGTTTTCTAATTGTTTCATTTGTTTGTATCTTGCTTAAGCACTTTGAAGTCAGGGAGTATATATCCTGGTTTCTTATTTTCATTATGGACCAAGAAAGTTCGTTGATGACTATTTGGCACAGAGATACGTTCTTTACAATGCCCTTTCTCAGCACACACATCCACCCCACTGAGTCTTTACCACATTTCTCAAGTTCTACTTACGTGGAATTATAGCTATCCTATTAATACTCTTAAAAATATTTCCCCTATTTGGACCAATTCAAAGTTGGCATAGGTTTGAAGATTATTTGAATATCTCCCCAAAATGCGAATAAGATACTCAGTCAATTACTTCTTGAGTATGTCTTACATAAACAGTGTAAGGCACTGAGAATACAAAAAAACAGCCTAGGAGATTTAAAAAAAGAGCCTATTTTCTTGGAGCTTTCATTCTAGTGGAAGTGCTTCTGTGCAGTTTTTCTGGAATTTAAGTTATCAGGAACTTTTAAAAGGGAAGATGTTGGGACTAGAGGGCTAGATTTTAGACTTGAGTCTAAATGAGTGTTAACTGACTTATTAGACTGTTTATTTAGAATCACAAATCTTAAAGATGAAAGTGGCCTTAGAGAGGTCATGCACACTAACCTCCTAGCCTGGATAGAATCTTTCTTTGTCATTATTGAAAGATAATCTTCCAGCTTCTGCTTTAATATTTCTAGGGGTCTAAGGTAGTTGCTTTGCAAGGAAGAAAAAAATATTTCTAGGGAAAAGAAACTCGTTGTTTTCTAAAGGTGGATACTTAAACATTTTTAGTCAGTTCTTCGGAGAAAACACTTACCTGTCTCTGTGAGTTTCTTTGTTTAGGCAAAACATCCCTGGCTCCTTCAGCTGTAGCTTAGTGACGCTGAACACTAAATGTGGTATTTTAGGTACAGTCTGACCAATATACAGAAAAACAGGATTGGATTTAGGCACTAAATTACTGGTTATATATTGCCTAAGGCTACCTTTGTTTTTAAGGTGACTGGAGTGGTCTCACCCGCAGGTTTGCTGGTTCACTAGGAGGACTCTCAGGACTCAGTGTATAGTACTCACAGCTGTCAATTATTACAGTGAAAGGATTCAAAGTAAAATCAGCAAAGGGAAAAGGTGCCCAAGGTGTGAAGTCTGGAGGAAACGGTACACATGATTCCAAGAGTCCTTTCCCAGTGAAGTCACACGGGATGCACTTAATCTTTCAGCAACAGGCTGTGACAACACATGTGAAATGTTGTCTATCAGGGAAGCTCATTAGAGACTCGGTGCCCTGGGTTTTTATTGGGGCTGGTCACACAGGCACCCTCTGTCTGGCTTGCATGAAAATTTCAGGCTTCCAGAAGGAACGCAAGGGTTTGCCATAAACCACGTTGTGTGTACAAACAGTGTAGGCACAGTGAGACACACTTATTAGCGCATGATGGGAACCCTCTGGAAATCCAGGTTCCCAGATGCCAGCCAGGGCCAGCCTTACAAGCAGTCCTTTCTAAGGAGAGCAGTTTCAGGCTTGTCTTGGTAACTTTTCTGTCAGGAACCATGTCACATTGTTAGCTCTTACTGAATGTGCATTAGCTTTTCTGCCCAGGTACTTGTTTATTTACTTAATTGCTGCTAAAATAGGTTTCACCATTCTGGTTTCTTAGAACTACATATTAAGTAAGTGGGTAGATTTGTTGTGTAGATATAAAATTCTGACCTGCCCTGAAGATCTTTGTATTTCCTTATATACCTGTCCTTGTGGAGAGCTGTGCTGACTTTCTATTCCTTTTTTTACACTTTAGTTTTTGGTTTTCTTTTTTTTTTTTGAGACAGTCTCACTCTGTTGCCCGGGCTAGAGTGCCGTGGTGTCAGCGTAGCTCACAGCAACCTCAAACCCCTGGGCTTAAGTGATCCTTCTGCCTTCTGAGTAGCTGGGACTACAGGCATGCGCCACCATGCCCAGCTAATTTTTCTGTATTATTTTTAGC